GTTGTGTGGTCGTACGCTGAGTGCTTACTGCCGGCAGCCACCATTTTGTGTGTGTGTGTGTGTGTGTGTGTGTTTGTAGAGTGACTGGTTACTTAAAAGGTAAATAAGTTATTTCAAAAAAAGTTGGTGAACTGAAAATCTTTTTTAGTGTAAAAGTGTGACCCCAAGATGTGAGTTCCAGCACCTTTTTTTTTTTTTACAAAAAGAGCACTGCTTAAGATCATCAGCCGAGGTCCTTCTCCCAGTTCAACTGCCCAAGCAGGTGAAGGGGGAGCCTGCAAACAGTGGATGCCCCCCATTTATGGAATGCTTTACCTAATGAGATTCACCAGGCAGATACTTTGCTGAGTTGTAGGTGCCTGGAAAAAACCTTCCTTTTTAATCACACTTATGGTACTACCTAAACCATTCTACTGATTGTACTGTTTTTAACATATATTTCTATTGAATTATGTATATTGTGATTTTATCTTGTTCTATTTTGCTAAGATATTTTAAATGGTATCTATTGCTTTTCTTTAATGTTATTTTACTGGTATTTATTATTATAACGGCCATCCAGAAAGCATGAAGCTAGTGGGCAGCTCTCAAAGTCAATCAATGACGTATAGATACCCTCTCTTCCCTGCCTTTTTGGCCCTCCAAAGAGACCGAAAGTTGGCTTGAATCTATTAAGAATTTTAAACACAACAAAAGTCAATTCAGAACACAAAACACACACAGACACACAACAAGAGTATTAAAATTTATTTAAAAAGGCGCATGTGCATCCAACCATGGGGGATGGAGTGGGATGGGGTGGGGAAAGACTCATAAGTGGTGACACATAGTGAATGCAATTTTTATTTTTATTTATTTATTTATATTGTGATTTATATCCTGCCTTTTTCCTACAAAGGGCTCAAGGCAGCTTACATCATTCTCCTCCTCCATCTCATCCCCACAACAACCCTGTGAGGTAGGTTGGGCCGAGAGTCTGTGACTGGCCCAAAGCCACCCAGTTGGCTCCATGGCTGAGCGGGGACTAGAACCCGGATCCTCTGAGTCCCAGTCCCAGCTCTTAACCACTGCGCCACACTGGCTCTCCACCTCTAGGAAGACCAGTCAGACACCAATATCTGCCAGGAAAAACATGCTTTGCTTCTCCTTTTTATTCTGCTACATTTTAAATCCTCACATGTTTATTGTGCCACTGCAACCTGCCAAAACTGTGGCATGGAAAGCTCTTGTTTAGGGGTTTCAGCCAGCCAGCCAGCCAGCCAGCTACTTTTCCAGGGTACTCCATTCCATCTCCCACCCAGTGTTCCACCCCACAGAAGATACTCTGAATTTTCTGGTCACCAAGCATGCTCAGTTCTCAAGGGGTCATTTTGCAGTGGGGTTCCCCCCCTTAGTCCCCCCCTCCAAAAAAAAGAGATATTTGTTTGCACTTTGGGGTCTGCCTTAATCATGTCATGTGGCTTAATTCTGGCTTGGGAAAGATCGGCACTCACCCCCAAACATTGCTAACAAAGGGAATGATTTATACTTAGCATTTGTTCTTGCAAACCACCCTGGAATCATTGATGAAGGGTTGCATATAAATCTTCAAAATAAAGAATAAACTTGAGTCACTCACTGCCCAAGAAACCCCACCAAGTAATCGAGAAAGGGGGACATTTAGAAGGCACCAGAACATCAAAATTACACAGTCTCTGTTGATCTTCTTTGGTACCCACTAGGTTCTTTTAAACACCACCACTGCCATTTGGCTATGTATGTTTGGCCGCGTGCCGCTAGCTCAGGAAAGGGGGAGATGTATTTTCCAGAGCCTGTTTGTCTGTCTGCACACGTTCTCTAGCCAAGCGTTCTGCCAAGAACCTGGAATGCGGAACAGTAGCCAGAACCTCTTCCAAAACGCTGACACCATCTCTTCCTCCTCCATGCTGTGTGCTTGGCCTTTTCTGTTTCAAAATTGCCAGCCTAACAGCCAGAAGCAAACCACGCATTTGGTATTTCTACCCTAATAGAGACTGACATGTTTGCTCCAGTTTCATGAATCCTCTCTTCCTGTGCATTTTGGGTATACGTTAAATCTCGGCTACCCACTTCCAACATGGCTTAAGAGGCTGCCATGACACGCTTGTCCAAGGAAGTCAATATGGCAGAGTAGCGTAGGCCAGGTTCAAATCCTGTTTGAGCCATCAAAACCTTCTCTCTTACTTAGGACGACTTTGCTTGGAGTAAGCAAAAGCATTCCTATTGAAACAGGCATTAGGCTTTTAAGATGACCTGTTTGCTGGAGTAACTGGTCTTAATTAGTTTATTTCTTAGCTTTGTTAACATGTTTTAAGCTGATTTGCTTTCACACCATTAAGGTACGGCCCAATTGTTTTGACTCTTTTTGCCATGTTCATTCTGGGCTCTGAAGAGACTTTAAGCATTTGGAGATGAGTGCTTTTACTTGTGAAAGACTTTTGAGCATGGTTTATGGGATTTCTTTTTACCTTGTCCTGATAAGGATTTACTGATTTAACACACACAGTCTCAAAGGGTCTCTTGAGGAAAGTACAGAAGTGCAAGAAAGTGCAAAAACAGGACTGCACAAGGAAACAAACACAAGGAAAACAAAACACTAACACAAGGGAAACAAAAATCATGACCGAGGAAGAATTGCATGACTTTTAATGTCAACAATAAAGAAATTGAAATTGTGAAAGAGTTGGCATCATCTTGTGAAGTCCTCGGTTCAGAGACTGCAGGTACAAATGTGAAGATGGCTGTGAAAGACACATTTTGGAAGGCACCCTTCACAGGGCTGCCACACGTCAGAGATGATTTGACAGCGGGTAACATCAGCACGAACAAATATGCACATTTTCTTCTGTTATAATAATGATGGATTGCTGTAGTGCATATGTGAGTCACTTCATAATGCCTTTTGGCAGTGGAAAGTGGCACAGAAATTAATAATATTTTTTATCCTTTTGTATTTTGACTTGCTACTGCCATTCACGGCTGTGAGCATCAGTCATTCAGGAAAGGGGGATATAAATTTAATAAATACAATTAAGTTGGTCAACCTCCCATCTCCCCCTAACCTCCTTTCTATGCATTGATTCTTTCTCTTTTTCTGAAATATGACCAAAGCATCTCTTTCACTGGAATGCTATCCACCCTTCAAGAAGAGGAAAACAGCACATGGATTTCCCTCAAGGCACCAAGCAAACGGCAAGAAAGGACTTGAATCAGCCTCTGTGGTTTGAAAACACAGAGCAGTGGAAAGTCAGAAACGCACAGAAAGCGGCTGAAGGAAATTGGCATCAGGACAGAAATGAGTAATCCAAGCATTGCACAACATTTTGACTGCTCTTTTATCTACATTTCCTCTGTGTCGGTGTGGGCTTTTAAAAATCCTCACAGTCCACTCTGCCACAGCAAGATTTACTCAGAAAATGGCATTTGTGAGAGAATAACATCATTTCCATTTTGGTTTGGCCCATTTCCGGAGCAAGCCCCAGGTTCCAAACAGCGAAGGTTTAGGGTGGCTTTTGTATGCTCTTTTCTTAGGTCAAGGAAGCCTCACTCTTCCACCAAGACATGGAAGAGCAGCGTTCATGGAGCAGTTTGCAGTCTGCAGAGATGCCCTAGCTCAGCGGTGGCGAACCGATGGCAGGTGTGCCCCAGCAGGCACGCAGAGCCCTCAGTTGGCACACGAGCCACGTCGCCCCAGCAGCCGAGCATCGAATAACAGCGCGCACAGAGGCCACACGCCTGCTCGGAAAGGACTCATTAGCCACGACTCGTTCGAGCTTCTGCATGGCCGGTCAGTGCACTGCCGGGGGGTGGGGGGGGGGGGGGAGGGGGGGGGGGGGGGAGAGAGGGGGGGAGGGAG